TCAGCTAATCCAGTAGCTAACCACCAGGTCTTGAGACTCTCCCAGCAAACTGCACTCCCAAATTACGTAAGATTACATTCCAAACTAGTTAGAGGTGGTCTCAGTGGAGCACCTTCTCTTCTCTGCTAGTAGGCAGATGATGGCGAAGAGACATGCCTGTCACTCTCATAAGTTCATTTCCAACTTTATGGGCTCTTTAGCCCTTTATAGGACCTTCTAAGGACCATTATTAAAAAAAAAAAAAAAGATTTAAAGATTTTCTGGGCACCTTTTGCAGATCTGGAGAAAAAAAACAAAAGCGAAAACAATGAAATCCTACCATATTGCTATCTGATCTGCATTGTTAAGGAGGCCAAGTAGACTGTGCACTCTTAACTCTGAAGTCAGGCTTTTCCTAAAAATCCAATTATATTATGTACAGAATTTTTTACAAATTCCAGAGGAGTCTGTTCTAGAGAATCAGTCTCAAGCCCAGAACCTGCAGATGACAGCATAAGTCCAACAAGTATTGTCTTGACACAGCACATGGTCCAGCGCATCCAGGCCTTGATGCTGGACCTCTCTCATTCCCAGGTACCAAGAGGTTTTCCATTATTTTTATTTTATGTGTATGAATGTAATACCTGCACATACGTAAGTGCACCAGTGTTGTACCATGCCCTCGGAGGTCAGATGAGGGCATCAGATACCCTGGAACTGGAGTTACAAATGATTGTTAGCTGCCATGTGGTGCTGGGAATCAAACCTGGGTCCTCTGCAAGTGCTCTTGACCACTGAGCAACCTCTCCAGCCCCTCCATTATTTTTCTGTTACTCTTCTATAACCCTAGTGTTCCTTCACCAATGTCCTACAGAAAATGTAAAACACATCTAATTGATCTTTTAGAGATAAATTCAGTCTGGGAAGTTAAAAAAAAAAAAGAACTGTAATAACTAAACTGATGTAACTCTCAGACTAAAAATATGTAATTGTATTTTGGAATGTAAATTCACAATTCTGTCTACTATAGTTTTTCAGTATTTACTGACAAAGCTGTAGTACCAAGCTTCAACAGTACTGTGAAATTTATCATCGTTTGTAATGTAAGTTTGGCATTCACTCCCTTTCCAAATGCTCCAGCCTATACAGTTTTTCAATGTAATCATGTCTGTGTATGTGTGTGTGTATATATATATAATTGTGTACTTTTTTTTTTAATGTGTATGCATGTATTGCCTGCATGTAGGCAAGTGCACCTGTGTTGGGCAATGCCTGCGGAGGACAGAAGAGGCTGTTGGATCCCTTGGAACTGGAGTTATGGATAGTTGTTAGCTGCTATGTTGGGTGCTGGGATTTGAATCTGGGTCTTCTGCAAGAACAACCAGCATTCTTAACTGCTGAGCCATCTCTCCAGCCCCAATCAAGTTCTTTTTTAAAGAAAGCAAAGCTAATTAAAAATTTTAAAATAAAAAGAATCCCAGAGAAATGAAAGGGGAAAAAATTTAAAATTTGGCTACACACGTGGTGTTATGATCTGGATTGAAGTCCATTTCCTCAAAAGGTTCAGAAATGAGCCTTCAGAGGGCCTGAAGGCTGGTGAAGTGGTCTATTGTGAAGTAATTCTTCAAGGACCCACTGGAATAAGACTCACTGTGCTCCACCAGAGGTCCTTAAAGATGTTCATGCTTCATCTGAGGCTGCCACTTTCCACTTGAGAGGTCCTTCCAACTCAGACTTCCTCTGCCCAGACCTCCAGTTCTTGCTACATCCTGAGTGGCTGGGTAGTGGTGGACACACAGTGGGACAGTGAGCTATCTAGTAATAAAACATCACACACAATTTAAGAAGGCTGGGGACCAGAAGATTCCCTGCTCCATAGAACAAAGAGCACTGAGTCTCTAACACTCAAGGTTTTATTCACTAGGGTGGGGTGCTCTAAGCAGGTATTCAGGAACAAATGGTATGCAGATCAAAGGACATTCCTCTGCAGGAGCTCAGGAAACAATCAGCTACAAAATGTGACCTCTTTACATGGTTTAAGTAGATATTCACACAGGCATAGTTATCTACACATAAACATAAGGGATACTGCACTTCCTGTCTGGTTTTCTGCCATCATAGACAATCTCGGCTACTGTTGACTTTGCACATATAGTCAAGCATGCTTTCTGCAGCGCTCAAACAGGGCAGTGGTCTCCAGCACTTGTCTAAGGCAGCCTCTGCTCTAAATGCTACACTTGAATTTAATTTCCTCAGTGGAATAGGTTTAGCACACACAAAACTCTGGGTGCTGGGAACCTAGTGGGTTTTCCACAAGAGCAGTACATACTTAACCAGTGAACACTCCAGCCAAGGTTTTTGTTTTGTCTTTTTGGAACAGGGTCTCCCTGTAGCCACAGCTGGCCTGGAACTTGCTTTGTAGACCAGGTTGGCCTCAGTCTCACAGAGATCCACCTGCTTGCCTCCCCAGTGCTAGGATTAAAGGTATGTGCCACCATACCTGGCTGCAAATATTGTTTAAGCACACATGTCAGGTTTCTAGGGGACAGACTTAGGAGAGCATTGCTAGTTTGAAAGGATGCACTTTAAAAAATTTTTAAAACATTTTATGAGTGTAATGCCTGCATGTAAGTGCATCCGTGTCGTGCAATGCCCATGGTCAGAAGCTCCAACCCCTGGTAATGGAGTTATGGTTATTAGCCACCATGTGGGTGTTGTGAATCAAACCCAAGTCCTCTGCAAGATCAGCTAGTGCTTTTAACCAGTCATCTCTTCAGCCCCAGGAGTGCTTTTTAAAAGAGCTAAATACTCTTTTATCTAAAAACCTACCTATCTACCTACCCACCCAAGACTGGGTCTTGATGTAGTTTAGGCTGGCCTCAAACTCTCAGCCTCTAGCGTGCTGGGATTACAAACTCTCTACCCCAGTTTATCAATTCATTTTATATATATATATATATAAAATCTGCTGTTCCATTTTGAGTTGATTTCCATTTTGTACTTGTAATTTATAGATTCAAAGGATATTTATAGTTGACATTTGTTCATTTAAAGATTATACACCAAGGTTAGCAAGTAATCTCCTAAACTTTTTCTTGACAATTTAATACATGTATACAATGTGGGCTTTAAAAAATTTTTTTTAAAATAATCTCATACATGTGCACAATGTCCTTTTATCTGACTCCTGTCATCCTTCCTCTTCAACGTTTGAACCAGTTTTTTTTTTAACTAGCCTTTCCCAACTTTCATGTCTGGATGAGAAAGTTTACTCAAGGTTCATTCTATGAGCACAGATGGGGATTTTACTGGAGTTTGGGCAACTTACCAGTGACTGTACCCCAAGGAAAATGACTCCCCTTCCCCCAGCAACCCATTAACTGCCAACAGCTCAAGGAACAGGGCCTCAGGAGCCTCTCCCTCATCCATGATGTATAGCTGATGGGTCTGATCTTGTTCAGGTGACCACAGCTGCCATACCCCTATGAGCCCAAGAGCTATGACACATCCAGAAGATACACTCCTGGTACTCCCCATCCTCCAGCTGGATCATGTTTTAAGTTTCCAAAATCCCCAGGGCTTGGGGGGGGGGGGGGGGAAAAAATCCTTTTTAATTCCCTCTTCCTCCAACACAGGAAACGCTCTTTAACAGTATCTGTTCTTAAAGTAATCCCAATCTATTAATTTGAAAAATTCATTTTGGTAACTTTTAGCATTTTCTTTGAGAACAATCGGTTAAGCACGTTTAAAGACTTGTAGACTACATTTTTTCACTGTAGAATTGGCCCTTCTGTAGCTCAATAGGTAGTCTGGCACATCCCCTTTCCCGAGTATCAGCTGAACCGTCCTGCAGACTTTAGCTGTATAGATGTGGTATTAACACCCGAGTTTTGCTGAAAATGCAAAAAGGGCACTAGGAACAAGTATTAAGGCAAGGTCTCAAGTGACTCTAAAGTATTGCTTATGAAGATGGGCATGGGTGCCTTGCTTCTTTTCTGCATTCTGCACAATCCCTCAACTTTGCAAGTTTAAATTAGTTTTAAAAATATATTTCATTTACATTGTGTGCACAGCACCCCGGTCTAGTGAATTCCAGGCCAACCAGAGGTACATAGCGAGACCCTGTTCAAAACACTCCCTTGACCCCCAAATACCAAAACCAAAACCCTGCCCCTACCACATCCAAATGTGCTTTCTCAAAGTAACAAAGCATTTGTATCCACTCAGGGGTCTCCAGTGGCACTCACGGGACACTGCCTGCCACAGCATTCATAGGTGGGTGTTCAGAGCTTTTGGGGGGTCGAAGATGGCAAGTTTTCAACCTGGTCTTGACAAATTCAAATGTTTTAGGCTACAGTGGGACACTGGAAACAACGGAGCCCTTATAAATTGAGCCACTGATGCACTACATTCCTTCACTGCTCTTATCCTGCATTCCCCCAGTTCTGTCATCTTTGTAGACTAGTGTCACCTAGAAAGGGCAGGCAGAGGTTGCAAAATTAGTTTTTCCTCACAGAGCTGCTCCACTTCTTAAAGGACACCTCTCAAGTGGCCTTTCTTTTTAAAGAACAATTCAAATATTTCACACACACATGAAACACACTGGTGTCTCCAACTTCCTGACACTGTATCAACAAAACAGTTATGAAGCCTTGATTTGGGATAATTAAGGAAATAAGTTTAAAAAATTTATTATTTAAATTCCAGAGGGGGGGAAAATCTGAGGTTGCATACCATCTATTGAGCACTATTCATTAAAAAGAAAAAAAAAACACATTAAGAGCTAGTATTAGGTAAGCATCACAATTTCAGAGCAGTTATCTAGTAATGTCTAATGCATATAGTCAATTAGGTGTTGAGTTTCCAGACTTCATTTGTAATTTACTTGAATGAGATGGTGTCCTACCCTCCTGTTTGCTAGCTAAATTTACCTTAGCTATAAAAATGGTTTCATCTTCTTGGACTGGGCTCAGGCAAAATCAAATCAAGGTAAATTAGCTGTTAATCAAGATGCATCATAATGCTGCAAATGCATGAGATTTTATTTCTCCTGGGGACCCCCCCCCTTTCCATTTGAATGCAGTATTTGGGACACTTGTTCCAAAGGACTGGTATTTTCCAATTTAATCAGATCAGAATAAAACAAGCCATAAAACTGTTTGAGATTTGTTTCTCACCCTCATCATCAAGACTCACCGCCTCCCATCATCAATATTTATTGAGCATTTACAGTGTACTAGGCACAACAGAACATACAGAAAACATTGTCCCTGCTCTTGAGGAGCTTACATTCTAAAAGGAAAAAAAAAAATACACCTCTTTTAAAATGGCATTTTTGTTTGGTGTTTTCTGTAAAGTACTGAGGAAATATTCGGTAGGGTGTGAGCTTTGGGTATAACTTAGCCCCATCATTATTCAAAGAGAGGAAGAGGAAGGATTTTAAAGGCAGACAGTGACAGACCATTCAGGATAGGATTTCCAGGGAGATAAACACAATCTCAACTAAGGAGAGATGTGCTGCAGGAAGGAGGATGAGGAGTTCGTGGGATGCAAGCAGAGGAAGCAGGTTCTTAGACACTTAGTGGAGCCAGAAAGATCATGCGGCCTTTTCCCAAGTACACGGCCACCAAGTAGGAATGGTCAGTGACAAGACAAGAGGCTAAAGAGGAAGGTAATATCTTGTGCACCTGACAACAGAATTAAAGGACTGAAAGGCAGGCTGTAAGAGCATCAAGAAATTCATAAAAACCAAAAGCAATCTGGAAGCACAGAACTTAATAGTTAATGCTACCCAATGTCATGATGGGCCAACAACATTGTGGCTTCCTTCCTAAGTTAGAAAATGCCATAAACCAAAATGTTTTAAATGGATCACGTTATCTCTGCCACTCAATTCTCCCCTCCCTCAGAAAAAAAGTCCACTTCATTTTTGAGGGAGTGAGAAGTGGGGAATATGGGACAGTTGAGAATGGTAGTTATATTAGCATCTTTTGTTATAACAGACTTTGCATTTAAAATTGGTAAAAGCCCATTAGCTGCCTAGAGGGAATAAGGAATCAATTTTCAAGAAAGTACAATTTCCTTTAGAGAAGTCTCAAACCAAAAGACTAATTACATGAAAAGCTGTAGAAAGTAGTTGAAAGTCCATTCATAAAACCTTTATTCCACTTACATGAACTTAATACATGTGTTCTTAACAATTATGCTTGGATTGTTCATGAAAATTTCATAAGACATTAAACAAAGCTAACCATCATCTCAAGTTATTTCCCTGTTAACTGTTTTATACAGCACATGCATGTTAGGCAAGTTTTTGTTTTTGTTTTTGTTTTTTTTAAAAAGGAAAACAAAAAGCACAAAAGCAAAAAAAAAAAAAAAACAAAAAACCAACTAAAAAAATTAAATACATGGGATTTTTTTGTTTACTGCTGTGCCTGATAGACATGAAGTAATGAATACCAAGCATTTTGTTTTTACTGCATCTTTACTTTTACATTTGTTCTTAGATTGCCTAAAACATTTAAATACAAATAAAATGTGTAGCAAAAATAATGAAAGCAAACAGCAGGTAACTTTACAAATAATGGAATGTGAACCGTTTCTGCCCTTATCCAGAGTAACTGGGTCACAACTTTGTCTGAAGGAAGCTTCTGCAGCTGCAGTCGAAGGCGTGCACACTGGGACTGGCTCCCCCACAGAAGCATGGGATTCCAACATGTGCACATGGGATATCTGTTTGTACCACAACCTTGTAAGTGCTCCAAACCTTAAAGTACCCACAATAACTACACTTGTGACTGGAATCAATTATCCCTTTTATTCCCCATCAGGACAAACCAATATGTAGGCAGTTTTCTTTGCTTAGACATGGAAGCAGTTTTAACACTGGCCCTTGTGAAGCCACAATGTACCAAAAGTACTATGCCGAACATATAACTTGTATAAAAATTCCACATCCCCATATTGGCCACCTCAAGATGAAAACGAGTAACTCCCTAAATGTTAACTGGCTCTACTCCCCTAATATTAAAACATAAAAACCACATGGGAAATATAGAAATTCAAATAGAAGTAACATAAACCTGTCATAAATCGTAAACAAAAAAACTATTTGTGGGACAGCATGGATGACAAATGGTCTACTGTGTAAATTTTAGAATGAGGCAGACAAAAGTTGGAAGGTGGTTAATTTTCCCCTCCTTCTCCTGCTTCTGCTTCATCTCCTTGGGTATCCGATGTCCACAACTGGTAAAAGAAGGAAAGAGTTTTTTTCAGCATATTTCAAAATGAAAAAAACAAAACCCTTTCTTATGTATGTATGCCAAGGTCCTAGCATGTAACCCATGTTCTGGTTGGAAAGTATTCTTAAATAGATAGCAATGCCGAGAACAGCTTTGATGTATTTCTTTTTCTCCCTAATCATCAGGTAAGCATGGCAGATACACAACGCAGCTGTCTTCAAACAAAACAGACACAGGAAACTTGTGGTTATTCACAGAAAATGAAAAGAAAGAAGAAATCCTAGTCTTTAAATCTTCTGACTCCAGGGCATTGCACGACATGGGTGCACTCACACACATGCAGGCAATACACTTATACACATAAAATAAAAATAAATATTTTTAAAAGCTACTGAGGTCAGAGCAGCAAGATGGGTCCATGGGTAAAAGGCACTTGCCACCCCTAGGCCTGACAACTTGAGTCCAATCCTTGAGACCCACGTGGTAGAGAGAACAGACTCCTCTAAGTTGTGTTCTAACGTCCACAAGCACACAATCCCCCTCCAAATTTATAAATGTTCTTAAAAAACCCTCAACTCTTAAGTAGCACTGGTACTAACTGAGCTAAATGGCCAATGTGGCTTTCCTGACATGTTCAGCTTTGAAAAATATACTTTTATGTATTTGTATGACTTACGATGAATGCCGAACAAATAACACAAAACCAAATATTTTAAGAGATAAAAACAAAAGTGTGGCAGGACAACAGATTCCATTTTTTTCATTAATGTTGTTATAATGTTTTAAGACGACAGTTTTAAACCATTCATTAGCAACCCCTAGAAAGGAGAGTATTCCAAAGTCATGGATAGTCGTGACCTGTGTGCTTCTGTTAAACAAGGATAAGATCATTGAAAGTTTCATTTTTGCCCTAACCCTTAAGGGTTTTTAATTTTGTATTCAAACATCAAAAAGTAGATATAGTACAATTCTCTCAGTAAGATGTCAATGATTTTGTAAGCCAGATTCCGAATCAACTAGGTTAGATTTTGGCAAAATTTCTTTTCTTGACAAATGATCAAATCAACCTATAATGATAACAGCCCAAATGTCACTAAGGCTCAGGAAAGACATAGTGACAGAATCAGAATGGAGACCGTGATTTTCCTCTCAATTGTTAAGTACTCTTCCTGCTATACTGAGGTCAAAATCCAGCTGGACGTTGAGACTAGATCAGCTCTCAGAAAAGTGGTGGCACGAGTAGGTCTCAGGGTCTACACCAAAGAGAAAATTTAGATCAAGTCTTCCTGTCGCACAGGGCAGCCTAGAATTTTGATTCTCTTGCCTCAGCCTCCCAGTAGCTGGGATTACAGGCATGTGCTACCATCTCTGGCAAAGGGGCTTAAAAAAAAAAAACACACCCCACCCTGTACTAGATATTAAATTCAGGGCCTAGATACTAAATTCAGGGCCTCACACGTCAACAGCCTTATAATGAGCTACATTTCCAGCCCAAGAATATTCTATTAAAAATTAGTACAATTTTTAATGACACCTGGGCACCACCATGTACCCCAGTACTTGGGAGGCAGTGGCAGACAGATCTCTGTGAGACTGAGGCTAGGTAGCCTGGTCTACATAGTGAGTTCCATGCCAGCCAGGGATATATGAGACCCTGGTCTCAAAAAACAACAACAAAAAAACCCCAAAAAACCAGAGTTAGTCTAGTGCTGTTATTTCTTTCATTTGGACTAAGCCTAAAACTCAATGGGGGAACATTTACCTAGTATGTGGTGAGGTCCTAGATGCCATTTCTAGCACAATGTCTTTCATTCTATACTATACCTTCTATTTCCACCATTTCTGAAGTTTATAAAACAGCCTCAATTACATTTATTAAAATAATCTTAGTTATTGTCAATGGACTAAACAAAGCTGACAATGAAATGTGTAAAAGGATGACAAGCCCCAAGAGAAATGGCCCTGAAACAAAACAGCCACACTAGACTATAACTTTTAATTTCCACCTGGATATCTGACATACAGCAGGTGCTTGACCATTTTTCACCTATGGGGCCTACTGCAATACATGGACTCTATTTGGATCCCAATTTACTGTTATTTAAATAATTCATTTATTTTATTTCATGGGTGTATTTTGCCTGCACACCATGTGAATGCAATGTAGAGGCTATGAGTACTGGGAACTTAACCTGGGTCCTTTCCAAGGATAGCCAGTGCTCTTAACTGCTGAGCAGTCTCTCCAGCCCTGGGATCCCAATTTAAATAACAAATAAAAATCATTGAAATTTGAATTGCCATTTAATAAGAATTGTTGGTTTTTTGTTTTTGATCAGACAGTGGTGCCCCCGACCCCCACCACCAAATCTGGACTATACCAGCATAATAGTTAGAACCTCCAACAGTATCAGGGTTTTGTTTTAAATAAAAGACTAGGCAAAGTAAGATTTCTAAACACTTGGATCCTACCATATCTGAAATTTCCTAATTTGTTATTAACAGCTTGTCATAGCCACACAAATATGGAGAACTTAATGGACACGAAAATCAAATTTTAAAATAATTTATAGCCTCAGTTTACCCTTCTCATGGTTTGAGACAGGATCTTGCTACAAAGCAAGGGCTGTACGATAGATAACTCTGTGTAGTCCAGACTAGCCTCTAACTCATAATCCTCTGCCTTCCACCTCAGGATGCTGAGGCATGCACACTGTACCTGAACCGAGCTTACTAACACCCAGCTGCTCTGAGATGAACATGAAACACAACACTTGATGGAAACTAAGTGTGACTTATGACAGCTCAAGCCCAAAACCATTGCTCACAAGATATTGAGATTTAGAATTTTCACTATAGGCTTGTGTATATATTTTGAATTTTATTTTCTTCCTCATGTGGTTTTAACAGTAGACAGGACATTAAAATTAGTAATTTAAAGACCAGAATATTCCTTATAGCATATTTTTGAAAATAAGAAAATAGTATTTTTGAAGTAAAATAAAATCTCTTAAACTACATTCATCACTAACGATGCTGTTAAGTACTTACTGTCAAGTTGTCTCTCAGTAACTGCATTATTAGTGTGCTGTCTTTGTATGACTCTTCACTTAATGTATCAAGTTCAGCAATGGCTTCATCAAAAGCCTGTGATTAAAAACAAAAAGTACATTTCAGTACTCAAATAATGACAATTGCTAAATTTCTGTGTAGCAGGAAAAATACATACTGTTTTTGCAAGAGAGCAGGCTTTCTCTGGGGAGTTCAGAATCTCGTAATAGAACACAGAGAAGTTAAGGGCCAGGCCCAATCTGATAGGATGTGTTGGTTGCATTTCCTTTTTGCTGATTTCAAATGCTTCTTGGTATGCTTGTTGTGACTGATCCACAATTCCTGGGTAATAAAACACCAATATGTACTGTTAAAAGTTTGTATTCCATCTTCACTCCTCAAGCCAAACTTTTCATTTAAACCCCATAAACTCAATCTTAAATTAAGTGCTTATTAAATTTAAAAGCAAACAACCAAGGCAAGCAAGCCTATTCTGGATCACACTAGCCACCTGCTACTGTCAAGACAGGGAAACCTTGGAATCTCACTGTTTTGTCAGCTACCTAACTCTGCTCTCTGGATACGCTGTGGTTACTACTTAAAACAATGAGGAAACATTCTTATACACAAATGGCTTTCAGAAAGTGTAATTTTTAAACACCAATGTCAGTAGGATAAAATCAGGACTCAAAAATAAAAGCAAAGAGCACCACTGCAGGCTATTCCAATGCTATAAGCGATTAAAAAACAAAAACAAACCTAAACCTAGTACTTCCAAAGATGACTGTCCACACTATATGACTTTACACAAGCTCAAACAACAGGTTTAAAATGTACTTTTAAACAATATACCTTTCTTGTCATCACCAGCAGCAACCTCAGCCAAGTAACGGTAGTAGTCTCCCTTCATTTTCAAATAGAAGACTTTGCTTTCTGCTTGTGAAGCATTGGGGATCAAGAACTTTTCCAAAAGAGACTTAAGAAGAAAAGAAACAGAAGCAATCAGAATACAACTTTTACAAAACAAAGCTAAGCTCTCTTCTTAAGCACACACTAAGCCCCATCATTTTCAGTAATCCAATTGAGAGTGCAATAGACTCATGAATTTGTGGTTCCAAAGTTAGCAGAATGCTTTGGGTAAAAATACTTAAAAGAAAGTTTATATTCTGTTTATTATTTGTGCACGATGCAACTGTGTAATTCCTGAAGTGTTTATCTGTTCATAGGCTTGTTGAATGAATTTGAAGTATAACACTTTAGATTTAAGGGTATTTTCTAATGAGCTAGCCAACTTTATAGAACTGAAAGTGTACAAATGAACCTTCTGGGATTCTCTAAGAACCATTTAAGTAGAAACTAGTAACACAACAGACACAACCATAGTCCTCGTCAGAAGATGCAGAACTAGATTATCTCCATTTCTAATAACACAACTGAAGCAATACTTCACAAAAAAAATTTAAAACAAACCTTAATTTTTCAAATAAACACCAGCCAAACCAGTACTATACTAATACTTCAGAGGGCCGGGACAGGAGAAGTCACGATTTTGAGGCCAGCATGGACTACTGATTTAGGCTCTACCTCAAAAAATATAAATTAGTAAATCAAGACAGTGAAAAGGCCACAGATTTAAATGGTAGATCTTTAATCTCATCACAGCAAATTTTTATCTGTAACTGTTAAAATTTTATTCTATAGTTTTGTTTAAAATTATTAACAACTTAAAGTTCAATGGAATCTTAATACGCCAAATAAAATTTCAATAGTACCCAAACAAAAAAATGCACTTACATTAGTTAGCTGGGCATGGTGGCGCACGCCTGTAAGTCCCAGCACTTGGGAGGCAGAGGCAGGTGGATCTCTTTGAGTTCAAGGTCAGCCTGGTTTACATAGTGAGTTCCAGGACAGTTGGGCCAAAAGGAAACTCTGCTTCAAAAAGACAAAAAAAAAACACTTACACCGGGAGAAAACAGCAGTAGCAGAATTGGGTAAACGTAAGAGGAAAACACCCTACTTTCACCAAACCTACTTCTTACTGATAACTGCTACTTTGAAAATCAAAGTGGAGAGCTCATTTGGCAGCACTGGCACTAAAACTGGAACACCACAGAGAAGATTAACATGGCTCCCACACGAGGATGACACACAAATTTTCAAAGTGTTCCATTTTTTTTTTTTAAGAAAAAAAAAAAAAATCAAAACCAAGTTCATTTTCATCTGGGCTAATTCCCAAATAAATCAATTCTTCCAAGGGAAAAAAAATATACTCAATTTTTTATTTACCTTCTCTAAGAAAGTCACCAACTAGTTTATCTTATATGTAATACTGTCAAAATACTTTTAACAACTATGTTTACCTATTATGTTCCAATGATAGGGTGGGTAAGGGAACAAACTCGAAGGTCCTAGGAACCAATCACTTATAGTGTAAGAATCTGACAGCTGGCATAGCGAGGCACCCCTATAATCCCAGAGCACTAAGGGCAGCACAAGCGGATTCTGAGTTCAAGGATAGCTTGGGTTACAAAGAGACCCCACCTCAAAAAACAAAACACACCCCATGGCCCCCAAAAGCAACCAAACAACAAAACAAAAACCCAAAAAGGTTGAGAATGTAGCTCAGTGGCCTATCATATGCAAAGCCATGGGGCCAATGCCCAGTGTGTGCTTACTTCTTTAGACAAAGTATTGATAAATGTTAGAGTGAACAATCTGTTTTTTTATTGGTAACTTCTATATCCCTAAAAATCTCATTTTTCAGTGAAGTAACTCATGCTGAGAAAGTTGGCAGGAATTAAATTAACAGATAAGCACCTCCTCCCTAAACCTGAACACAGAAGCAGTTACAAAACAAGTTTAAAGCTACTAACCAAAAACCAGAATAGCAAGGCTATTACTTACTGGCTTAGTGGGGATCAAATATGAACAGCAGCAAATGTTTCTGGTGAAATGCTGACTCTAACATATTGAGAAATGTATAAATAGTATACTTAAGTATTTAAAATTTCCAATGACATACATAAAAAAGCTAAGATTAAATTTACAGGAGCTAATGCTTTCTTTGGATAAGGTGTCATGGAAGAGAACTGTGGGAGACTTTCTTCAAAGCTGACTTCCATCAATTCCCTGCCATTCCTAATGAGGCAGAATTTATTTCCTTTTTCGTGGAGTGTCAGCTAGTTTTGCTGACTTGCTTTGAACCAACAGAATTCAATGAACTTGGCCACTGTTCCAGTTCTGTGCCTAAAATTACACAACTCAGATATTGGAGCCATAGCTAAAATCCCAGCCAATACTACACGAAAACTGCCCAGTCAGAGTCCAGTCAAGCCAAAGAATCCCAGCTTTTAAGTCACCAAGTTTTGTGTGGCTCATTATAAAACAACTGAGGTGAGTCATGGACCCTATAATTTTAACTTGTAATCATAGTAAATGCCAATATTAGTTTAGTCTGACGATTCTTTAATCCTATCTATCAGGTACAGGCTACAATGCTTCTCAGTTTATAGAAGTCAGTGTAGTCCAACCATACAATGTGCTCAAAACCACAGCTGCTTGTGAAAAGTGATATTCACAACTAGGAAATCTGAGTACTTCTCTGACTTGATAGTGACATCTATTGAAAAGGTAATGTGACTATTCCAAGATACATCAACAAAACTATCTATGTGAGTCATCAAACTTATGAAAGTTCAGTATTATGCTAGATTGGTGACACCAAGTCTAAAATACATTGCTTCTTAATATATCAAGATAGGAACTGAAGAATACCAGAGTGATCAACATGAATACCTCTAACTGATAGGACTAGTTAAAACTTAAAGCTGGACTTGGAGACGCATGCCTGTAATCACAGCATGGTGCAGGATCAAGGTAATCTGGGCTACATAATAGGATCCTCCAGCCACCATCACCCCCCAAAGACTAAATTGCTAAAGAGGGAAATTTCTGTTTAGCAAGAAAAACCTGAGGAGACTAATAGAATCAGGTACCAGACAGTGAGTCCCCTCTTCTTTTAGAGATCTAAGGAGAATTCAAAAGGGTCACTTGTATTTTTGTTAAGAGGAGATTAAATTCCAACATATGGTCTTTTTCAAATCCAAGGGGAAAAAATGAGTACACTGCATTAGTTAATAACACGAGAGGTATGCTAATTGACTAGAGTTCATTAATCTAACGCAGGAAGCCAAACAAAGGTAAATTGTAAGGGAAAGAGTAAGAACAAAGGATCAAAGGATATTTTCAAAAAGCCAGAAGTATAGGGAAGAGGGAAAAAGAGAGGCAAGCAAAATGAAAGGGAGGGGGACTGGAGATAGCTCAGCAGTTAGGAACACTGGCAGCTCTTGCCTGAATTTGAAAAGGGAGTGGTACAAGACCACATTGTAAGGGAAGTGTGGCAGGCATCACAAATTCAACTCTCCTGGGGGCTAGGTTGCTTAATGCTGAACATCCCACTTTACTGTTTACTCTCCGTGCCACCCATACAAAACCCTGCAATCTCTTTGGGCTGCAGGTTTCTTGCCTGTTAAGAGGCAGACATCAGTAGCTGAGACATCAGGTGAGCTACAAGCATTAAGTGAATTAATGTGTAGTACAGAGAGTACTGAGAACAGTGTCTAGTACAAAGCAAGCAACAAGTGCTATCATCTTCTGGTAAATTAAAATTTTTCTCTCAGTATTTCTAAGCTAATTATACAGATTGCCCTAAGAAAATGTAAACATCATTGATAATCACAGCACCTGGAATATGGTGGCAGCAAGATGATCAGATCAAGACAATCCTTGGCTACAGGAGGGCTGCATGAGACACAGCCTCACCAAGGACTGCATTACAGCAATTCTAAAATCACGTTAGTCAACTCAATTCATTCAGAAACCATCTTAGCTCTGGACTCTCCTCTTAAGATGTCATGTTTTAAAAAACATTTCTACCTTATTCCTCCCAAACATAGTAAGTTATTTCTCCATAAACAGGTATACTTTTCCACAGTAAAGACTAAATATTAGCAACTTGTGTTTATCTTCCAACTTTTTGGTCTCAACATCTTTTTTACTCACAATTGATCTCAAGATTACAGTACTAAATAGAAGTTTCCAGAGTTCTCATTTTTATTATCACAGATACTGTCTTCCTTGAAGTGACAGGTTCATTCATTTATTTTCAAGATGTGTATTATCACCTAAGTTTGACTAACCTCAGCCTGTCTGCCCATGAACAAAAGCAAGTAAGTCAGGACACAATCCAAAACACCATGAAAGCCTTTCCTAAAGATATTCATTGTATAGTGGGCCCTCCATAGCCATGCAGTTTGTATTCAAAGCAACAGCAGCCCAAACATATTTGGAAAAAAAAAGTGTTTAACTAGCCAGGGATAGTGGATCACACCTTTAATCCTGGCATGTGGGAGGCAGAGTTGGCCCATTTCTTGAGTTCAAGGCCAGCCAGGGCTACACAATGAGATCTGGTCTCTAGCCAGGACCTGTACAGACTTTGCTGTTTTTCTCCCAGGTGTGCCCAAACACCTTTGATACTGTAGTGCAACACCATCTACAAAATTCACCTTCAAGTACCTACAATCTGAATTTTAAAAAATCTTCAGTTTTTAGTTTACAATTTTGTGTTGGGCCAAATTCAGATTTGAGCCTTATGCAGTCCATAAGCTGCACGATTACTTTAAGATGTTATGAATAATCTAGAGATGATTTAGAACATACCAGAGGATGTGTGAACACAGGTTACCTGAAACTACCACCATCATTTTAACAAGGGATCTGGGCATAAGCAAATATGTGAGCTTGCACATGTGGACAGAAGACAGCTGTACTTTCCACTCTGCCACACAGAATGGTTGTCAATTTAAGGGCTATTATAATTTTACAATTCTAAGGACACTAAAATCCTTTCGAACATACAATTGCTATGTTCCATTAAAGCTAATTCCTGTAACTATTCTTTTTCACCTACATTATTTGTACTGCTAGGTTTAAGGAGAAAAAGGAAATACCCTATTTGTGGCAATCAGGAACTAGATAGTGTTATACCACAGAATACTACACATGTATTAAAAAGAATGAGGTACCTACCAGCATGGAATGAAACCATATGATAACAGTGTGTGGAGTAAGATGAAGTCACAGGTTTGTTTTTTCACTTTATATCCTATGTTTTACAACATCTAATTTGTCCAAGACAAATATAATGAAAAATAAACTTTTTTTTTGGTTTCTTTAGACAGGGTCTCCCTGCAGGTCCAGCTGGCCTTGATCTCAAGAGATCTTCCTGCCCCTGCCTCTGCCTCCCAAGTGCTAGGATAAAAAGCATGTGCCACTAAACTGGGCTATAACTTTATCCCTGAACTTTCCCCACATTCTTTGTTTTTCGAGATGGGACCTCGATACACAGTCTAGGCTTGGCCTTACTCAGGGGCCCAAGCAACCTTCCCAGCAGTAGTAGACAATCTTTTGTTTTTTTAAAAAAACTACTTATAAACTAGAAAAAGTTGCATATATCTTAGGCACTCAAATATTAAATTTTGACTGAAATACAAGGTATACATAATTTGAACAGCTTCATTTAAACAAGTCCAAATAGTCATTAATGGCAGCAACAGGGTAGGTTAAATCTTTCTAATCCACTTGCTTGATACTAAGAAAATTGCTTTCTAGAATAATTCAGTGGAGAAAGGAAGACAGTACAAGGCAAACAAACTTGTTTGACATTAGGTGCCCTGATTTGCGCATTAACTGTCATCAAAATATGTAACAGATGACATGTGTCTTCATATCTCCATCTTCTTTTTTCATCACAGAATTTCAAAGTTCTTCCTATTTTATTCCAGGAAAACTTCTCTAGTGCATCAATATTCCCCAATCCATCACTAAGCTTCAGATTTCCTTTAAACGCAAGAGCATCTTTTCCTTTTCTTTCTTTTTATAAATATTTATTTTATATGTATGAGTGTATCACCTGTGTGTAAGTATACTCATCATGCAGTGCCTATGGAGGTCAGAAGGCATCGGATTCCCATTCAACTCAAGTAAAGGATGGTTGTTAGCCACCATATGGGTGTTAGGAACCAAACCCAGGTCCTCTGCAAGAGCGGCCAGCGTTCTTAACTACTGAGCCAACTCTCCAACCCTCCTTTTCTTTCTTAAAAGGGAATCAGAATTTAG